GAACTGGGTCAGTCACAGAGTGCCCAGTTCCCCTGCCTTGTTGGGTGTTTGTAGTGGGAACTGTGGTATCAAACCCTTTGGTACAGGGGTGACACACACACGGCGCCGCTTGGCGGCGCTCGCGTGGAAAGCCTGAATAGATACCTAAAAAGCCTTAGAAACAAAAGACAGAAACACAGAAAGAGCAGCGCTAAGAGGGCAAGAGAGAAAGATAGGAGTAGAAAAAAGAAAAAAGAACATGAATACTTAGCCCTTGACTGGGGTAGGGAATCGAACCTCAAGAGCAACCTAAAAAGCCTGAGAGAAAGCCCAACAAACGACGGAAAGCGCAAGAAAGAAAGGGGGGGGAGGGAGGGGGTGTATGTCCATGTGTGTGTCTGAATACTTAGCACTCTAGGATTACTGACTACTTAGCCGAGACGAATGACAGTGCAATAGTTAGGGAGCGGGACTTTAGTCTTAAACCGCCCGGGTAGAGTAGACTAGAAAGGGACAACAGAGGGAAAGGCACCGACACACAAGTGTGTCGAGTACCATTTCCCTGTGTTACCCTAATTAGGTAGGGAGTAGAACACGGTGGGGGGGGGTAGGGAGACCTGCCTCTGAAGTGGGGTGAATTCCGTTTTTAAGCCCGGCGGCTTGTTAAGTCCGTTTTTTGGCCCGGCGGCCGTGGAAGCAGTAAATTCAGTTAGGGTGGATCGAGTGGTGAATTCCGGTGAAGGTGGAAAAGCTCAGTTACACGATTTCCGGCATGAATTCAGCGCCCCAGTGACGGGGATCACACTCAGCACCCGAGTGGGACGGCTGAGCGAAACACACTCTGACATTGGTATTCAGTTACACTCAATTCCCAGGTGAAAAAAGGTGAGAGAACTGCATGGCGAAAAGTCCAGGAAAGTGTAGGTGTTTCAACAAAATGGTTTTCGCACTTGACTGCGGAAAGCGCACAGCGGCAAAGCGGCTGCAGGTCTGCGGTGGGAAAAGGTTTAGGGGAGGTAGCGTGGAACCACCATGAAAGCAAAAGAGAGAGATTGGAACGGCTTGGTCAAAAGTTCAAACCTGGCGCAGGTACGTTCGGATGATCAGTCCGAATATCCCACTCTGTGACCTAGCTTCGTTGAACTGGGTCAGTCACAGAGTGCCCAGTTCCCCTGCCTTGTTGGGTGGTTGTAGTGGGAACTGTGGTATCAAACCCTTTGGTACAGGGGTGACACACACACAACCTGCGTCGTTTTATCAAACTTTGTTTGCACCTGTTATGATACAGATCCCAAGCCTCTGAGGCACTCAAAGATAATCTGGCTTGAACACAGACATACTGCTTCACAGCGGCCTTTCCGGCCCCAAACTCTGTTTCATGAGTTCCCCAAGCTTGCCATTTAGGAACCTGCATCCATTGCATCTACCAGATGGTGGCCGACGCGGCTCCTGCTTTGCGCTGCCCCGGCCGCGCTCCTCCTTTGCCTCGTGGCCGCCGCGGCGACGCCCGGTCGGCGCGGCGCCATCGGCGCGGTGTCGGACCAGGTGGTGGCTGAGCGGACGATGTAGACTTGACTATCCAAGTTAATCAAATTAATCAAGTAAATGCCTTGGACAACGGGTTCACGGGGCCATGTCACCATGTCCCATTTTCGTTCGCCTCTAGGGTGCGACTGGGAGAGTCCAGGCAGGAGACGTATACTTCCATTTCACAACACAGTGTTCCTGAGATCGGGGAGGGCTGAGAAATTTAATCTAAGATCTGGATCAGATTCAGGGGTGCATTTTCTATCCACTTGCAAGGAGCTGCAAACTGTTGACAAGAAGTACCCGCCTTTGTGTTGAGCCAACATACACGTCGCGACCCCAAAAAGAGGCTCGGCTACAGAGTCCCAACAATGTGACATTCACAAGGCAGTGTGACTCTTGTGGCTGCCCCCCAGAAGCAGAAAGACCACCTTCTTGCCCCAAGAGAACCAGCTTAGGTTCTTGCCCCGTCAGGGCCCCGCTTTCGCCTCATGCGGCTTGAGACTGAGACGAAAGAGAACCCCCCCCTCCGCATGGGGAACTTGAACCATGACATGAGACGATTGGAGCGGATCAACCGCTCTCAGGGTTGACTCTTCCCGAAAGAATCACGGTTTCGTGGACCTCCTGGCCCCTGGGAAAAAAAAGACAGCAATTCTTCCTCTGTTGTGCACTTCCATTTTTGTTGCAGGCAGGGTAATGATGTTGAAGGAAGTGTCCCCTGGCGAGGGTAGATAGTTTTTCCAAGAGCCCAAGAGATGCAATTTGACCTTTGCATTCGCCAGATCTTCCTCAATAATTTGGGTCCCTGCATTTCTCGGAGTGTTTTGTCATGAAGGGCAGTTCCTGCACAGGTGCAGTTGCAAGAAACCTCTGGATGTCCCGCAGCCCTTCGGCTGCCCCCGCTCTCCTCGGGGGGGGATGTGCAGGGACCGGTTGTTGCAGGGACCGGCATGGACTGCGAGAGAAATCCATGGGATGGGCCCAATTGCCTACTCTATGGTTCTGGGGGCCGGAGGAGGTGGCCTCAATGGACTGACTTTGGATGTACTGTATTCTGCATGTCTTTATGCATCCAAGCGAGGGTCCCAAATTGAGGACATGTTCCTTAAAAAGCGGGGGAAAAGGAGTCATTGAAAGTTCTAGGGGAGTTCGTGGATTCTGCAATTTCTTGCCGGTGGGTTCTGACTCAGTAGATGCCAGCCCTTGGTAGTGGGGCAGTTAGTCCAAAGAACTTAGAATGAGTCGTTTCTGGCCTTTTGGCAAGCAATGTCTCTTGTGGATGTCCTTCCTTGCTTGGGACTATTGTTCTTGGGGGGTGGTATTGGATTGACATTTGATTATATAGTTATGGTAGTATGAATTTGTGGGGTGCGGCGCTTTGGGGGCCAAAGCACCGCTCCGGAGCGACCAACCCGATAACCTGGCTGTGTCCGGGGTGAGGGATCTTGAGGGAAGATGCGAGTGAATGTACTTGGACCTGAGTGGATGACGCAGGTGTCAAGAATATCCCTGTGCGGAATCCGGGGATTCCTCCTTGATTCAAGGGTCCAGTCTTAACCAACGACCATGGGTTTTACTATGCCTTTACTTTTACTAAGAAATGTTTGGACCGCAAAACCAGGTCAGCCTTTCTTTGAATGGTCTTTGAAGGCTGACCGAATGTGAACCTCCTCTTCTGAATCGATCCAACGAGGCTTGCGGCACCGAGGGGGTCGCTTGCACTTCCGGGGCTGTCAAGCCGGTCATCACTACGAGCACGACGAGCAGCACCACGAGTAGTACGCCGGAAGAGAAGGAGCTCCAAAGGGGCCTGGGGAGGGCCCTGATCGCTGGCTTGCAAAACCAGCACCAAGAGCCGTGAATGCAGGTCCATACATTTCTGGAGACAAGACCACATGAAACCCCAGTACTTTTGGCGCTTTTGGGCCGTAGAGGAACATGGCCTCCCACCCTCAATTCTCAGTGCCTTAGCTTGCGGGGGGGGAGCAATTATCGCGCACCTGAGGCACCTCCACAATCAAAGTAACTAGGAGAAACAACAAGGGTCGTGAGCGTGGATCGCAGGTGTCAAAAGTGAAGGCACATGGTTTCGCAAATCCTCGGGGACAAGGTCTCAAGCATTTAAACTAGGTCCATCCCATCATTTCCCATGCACCAAATGTGATGAACACCATCTGATTCTTGAGCTAAACACTTGGCACGACATCCAAGTTTGGTGAGTGTCAACTTGAACACTCGTTTGGGGAGCATAGACCCCAGGGAAACAAAGAGACTGAGATGCTGGCATGTTGCAGGCAGGTCTGACGCACATGATCTTAACTTGTTTGCCAACACTTCAATCAAACAGGTCCTTCAAACCAAGATCAGTTCAATCAAAAAGGTCCTTCAAACAGGTTTTTCAAAAGTTCTTTGGAAACATTCTTCCTTCAATGAAGGTCCTGAACTGCCACCTGTGGGACTCTGATCGGTCCCATGCCAACAAAAACCAATCAGACGAGGGATGTGAGATTGCAACTGTTCTCACTGATCCAAAGATACCAGGATCATCCTGTACGGGTGTCCTGGCTAGACTACCCTACCCTACGTAAACAGGTCTGACAGGGCACCCGGCCAGGAAGTGCTAGGTATACTAGATGGATCTGCGGCGAGTGACTTTTCCTTCTGAAAGTCTAGGTGGTGATCTGAAACCGCTAGGCATCAAGATACACCGTATGGTCGAGACCCGGTATATGATGGTAGTTATGATAGTATAATGCTTGCGTGGCTGTGCTGCATGGGAATTTGGTACGGTACGCACCTTTACTGGTCCTTCGTGACCAGTGCCTTCGCGGTTCATTCGGACTCCAAATCTCCCAAGTTGAACCTTCAAAGGGGCAACAGTGGTGTCTATTACTTCTCTCTAAGCTCGACCACAGATGGCCCTTCCTTCTAGGAGGTTTTTTGGGAAAGTGGTGGTGAGTTGGCAGACGTCGAAACCTGGCGCATGAACGTGGTGCAGCTCAGCTCCTCGGGTAAAGAAAGCACACCTTTTCGCCGTTTAAACGTCGACTCTCGGCCGCTTTTCGAAGGGTTGGAGGGGTTGCGGGTGGTTGGATTCCTCCAAGTGACTGGGATTTGGGTCCCGAAAGCTCTCAAGCTAGCCGACGGACCTGACCATCCGTCGCCGCCGACGTGGACGGTGGGAGTCCATCGTTGAAGAAGGTCCATGTCTTCATGGACTTCACATTGGAGACGCTAAGAGGTAAAGACACACCAAGCTGGCCTTGGGTATGAATGTCTTCCAGTAACACGGTCCGACGGTAGAATGACGTAACCAACTGCCCTGGGGGGTATGAAATACGGCGGGCGTGGACTCATCCACACGCGCCTCTGGTGGGGTTTGCAAGTTTGGCTGTTGTTATTCTGAAACTGGAAGACATGCCATGGAAGAGGGGGTTCCTCTCTTCAGGGTTCATCATGGGTAATTCTCCAGCGGTCTTCCAACCTGTGCACAGTAAGAACTTTGTTGTCCATAGCCTAGTTCAAACCACACCGGAGGAGAGAGGAATAGACGTACCGGGCAGATGGGCTCAACATCGATTTTTCACCCAGATGGCCCAGATGTGGTTAACATATGTATAAATTCTGACGCCGCCACTGCGTGTGCCTTTTCAATTTATAGGGTAACAGCGGCCACTCTTGCAAACGACTGAAGTTTGAAGTTTACCGTACTCACGACGAGTTAGGCAGAAGTTGAGACTTCGTTGGCCCCAGATCGTTTGCAGGAAGATATCCAGGAAGAGTCGTAGGAAGATTATCAGAAAAACGGTCCTCGGCCCTGCAGGAAACTAGAAGAATGAAAAGAATGGACGGCTTTGCCACCTGGGATGAACCAAATGACGTTCAATACCAAGCAACATCATCCGGGATAGGTCAAAACCTGGTGCTCTGGTCGTCACTGGACCTTCGTCGCTGCCCGGTGGCCTAAACGCCCGAGATGCCCTCCACGGCGGCCTTTGGCGGATCCACTTCAACGCCCAGGCACCCAGCGGACTGCGGGGACTGCAGGGGTGGCGAAAAGACGGGTGGGTGGATGCAACCGTCTAGAAGCATCCCAAACGCCGAAGGGTGGGGAGTGCCTCATTCGTATTTGGTTTCATCCGGATGTGTCCGGATCTGGGGTTCAAAGGAGCGATCAAACGATCAAACCATTGCATTTGCGGAGTTGTTCGGGCAAAAAAACTAATGACTCCTGGCTTCAGCAAAGCATTTGATGTATCTTTTTAGGCTATTTGAGGCCCTCAGATGAGTCGGTAGACTGCGTTCTGTCAGGAAGCTCTTTACTTTTCGACCCATGCAGGGAATTCCCGGGCCAAAAGCTAGCCATTTCGGGTTCTTCACTTCCAGTTGGACCTTGAAGAAGCCTTCGTGCAAACTCTCCAAACCCTCTGCACTCCTTGTTGGCCAGGTCTTCACTCCCTTGGGAGGCTTCAATGTGGGGAGCAGTCCATTTCCCAGGAGCTTTCCCGAGTTGGAATCGGGTAATTACCACTTCGTGCCACCCGCCCGCATCCAGAGATGCGTTTGTCCGACGAGACATTTTTTGATATTTTTTGCGGTGCTTGGGGCGGCCGGCCGTTGTTCAGGCGCAGCAGCCTGGTTTGGGCGGTTTGGGCGTGGTTTCGGAGGTGGTCCAAGGATTTCAGCTGGATTCTCAGGCTCTTCACCCTAGATTCAAGGACTGCGAGAGATCGAAGGACTGCGAGAGATCGAAGTCAGATGGTTTTTTGGCCCAGCGAACGACCTGCAACTTGAGATTACAAAAGCTTGATGATGTTGATGTCACCTGGGAGCCGGGAAGGACCCTTCACACTTGTGCAGAAAGAAACTTCTCCATCTCTCCCAGTAACATGGGACGTGGAATTCATCTCCTATTCGTATAAGTGGCCTTCCAAGGGGCCTATGCCTTCCACTTCCATAGGGGGTCAGAGTGTCCTTCGTACACACCGCGGATGAGGCTCAGATAGGCTCAGGTAACTTCTCTGAGTGGTCGCCTCCAAGGACTTGGGCCAATGTGAATCTGCCTTGTGCACTGAATCCTGGATCGGAAGAAGCTGGAACCAGGTTAGAAATCAGCAGCACGAACTTTTTCGCGGAAGCTTGGTGGAACGCAGCAGTTGGTGGCTTTGAGAAGACGAGAAGGGGGGTTAGCAAGCCATACAGTAATGGGTTTGAATTCAATATGTTCTTCACGCCCTTTGGCACGAAGAACTTCATCTTCGCGCGCCCCTGTCACACATCCTCAGGGACGAGTAGGGACAGACCATCCTTAGTATCCACTCCGACCACCGAGTGTCGGAGGTAGTCCAGGAGTCCTAGGCTAGGGAGACTATTCAGTACATCCTGGGAGGAATCCCATCAAACATCGAATCTCCTGGCCCTGCAGTATCCTGCGGTCTTTCGCAATCCTTCTGAGAAGCGAGGAGGCAAACGTGGAAACATCGGGCCTAACTTCGCATGAATGGAGGATGGAGGTGTGTCGTTTGTGTTGTTTAAGCATGTAACATGTTTGAACCAGAGTGGCCTGAATGTTCTGTGAGCATTCGAGCTGAACCTGCAATGATCATCATCGCCGCCAACCGGATTTATGTAAATTTGATAGTTTGGTGGCCTTTGTTGGTGCAGTTGGAAGGTGGCGTCATCTGTCAGGTTCTATCTTGGAGTTTCACGAGTTGGGGCTTCCTGGGGAGAAGATTGCTCCGGGGAGTGGAATTGAAAGCCTCCAGGAGGTCATTCTTAGCGAGATGGTGAATTTGGGCAAGACACATGTCCTATGGGCCCCAAATCTGGAAAATTAGAGCTGACTTCTTGGCAGCCAGCCAGACACTGCATTCATTACGATCGATGCATCCAATGATCGTTAGTTACATTTGTGTGAATGTGTGTGAATGTACTATGTGAATTCAGAGCATGTTTGCCGCATTTTGCAGCCATCGTATGCTGTCGTCATGTGCAACCACCAGAACATCAAATGGTTCCATGGCAATCTGACATCTTTTACCTTTTGATGCAGTCGACGTAGTGTCCACTACACAAAATGCATCAGAACACTATCGCACGTCGTCTCGTGCAATACAGCACCATGGCGGCGTCCTCGCGATACAAAACAGCGGTCAATGATCATTCTTGGTGATGGTGCAGGTTGAGCAGGGCGGGCGATTAGAATGGCACTGTGCGTGGGAATGACCCGGCACAAACGGATTCATGATCCATATATGAACTTCATACCGCGCCAGTTGGAGACCGACAAGAACCGACACCATGTGTTCCCAATAGATTGATCTCTCGTTGGGGGGGTCTTCGATCTTGCCCAATGCCTTCGGCAAGGATACCCTTGCAGTCTTCGACGAGGGCGAGTCTGATCCAGCTTGGAAAGTGACCATTACTCATTGGACACTCGGACCATCGAGGAGCGGAGGGCGGCCCTGGGATCGGCCGATGTAAAGGTGTTTCTCTTGGCCACACGCCAACGGGGGGGGGCAACGGGGGGGGGCCAACAGGCCAACCCTATGGATTTCGTTGGCCGTGATCATCAGTGATCCAAGCAATTACTGTTTTCTTCCGCCAGCGCCGTCTTTCTATGGGCGCTTCGATGAATTCTCATTCGCATGTCTTGCAGCCGCCTCCGCCACCGTAGATCTCGTGTTCGGCCTCGTGTTGAGTAGGGTCATGCGGAGGTGGACTCTTTGGAAGTTCTAAAGAGTGTTGAAGTGGCGAAGTGCCTAGAGTGGCCTACAAGACAAGCCAATTGAAAGGCAAGTCTTACCGTCAACTCTTTCAACGTGTGGCTGAGCTGATGCATCAGCAATGGGCCAACGGGCTTCGCTGTCCTGAGGTAGCTTGGGAACCAAAGGCCACAGATACAAATCCTTTTCAGGCTCAATCCTTCGTCCCCAACACATCAATCAGAACTTACAAATCCTGCACATTCATAGAATTTGCTTGTCTTGCTCTCTACCTCTACCCCGTCCCTTCCGCAGCCCCGTGGAACGTGTGGTTTTTCTCTGAGGCACCCACTGATTGGCGAGCGTCGTTTGCAAAATTCCTCGCTCGCGAACGCCGAACTGAGCCCGCGCCGAATGCAAGAAGTCTTCCGCCGCTGGGCGAAAGTAAAGGCCCTGTGTGTCGAGGTACTTTTAGACTGGCATCCTACTAGATATCATTAGATTTCCTAGCTTCAGATGGTCTCAACTAATATACTACTTGATTTATCTTTGTTTTTCATATGTTCATTGTTTCTTTCCTTTTTTGTTCTCTCTCTAGCTGGTGTGGAGCCTCAAAACCCTTTGACCGCGCGGTGATGACCGCCTCTGAGGTTGCCCGGATGGCTGCGAAATCCCGGCCCTCTATGTGAAGCATGGGCCGCATGTGGGGTGGGGGGTGAACCGGGGATCTTGGGAGAAATCGATGTCAAAGCATCAGCTTCGAGCCGGTTGGTTTTTAGTATCATGTTACGAGTGAACATGCGGCGGGAGAGGCTGATGGCCGGAACCTAAATTGAAAGCCATGTTTGGCAGACTGTGGGCGCAACAGATCTGGAAGTGCCAGGCAAACACACAGCCAGGCAAACGCACCAGGGATCAAACACACTTGAGTTGGGCTCAAACATGCTCAAGCATTAGGTCCAGTATTGTTGATGGAACAGGCCAAGTGAAACAAAGATTTGTGCCCCTGCATCATTTTCTTATGAACCAGGGAAGGCGACGTCATTTTTCTGAAAGAAGCATGGTGGATTGGTGGCGTGTCGCTTTTGTTGGGACAAATCACTTCCCAAGAACCGGCGGCAGAGTGAATCAACGAGAATAATCTTGACTCAGGAATAACCCACCTCCCCACCTTAATCAAGCCCAGCTGGCCCCCAATAATGAACCAGTTCAAAACCTGCATTTCCACATTTGCATCACCCTAATGATAAAGGATTGCTTCTGATGTTGGCGAACGTTTCCTTTGACCAAGCAGGTTTGGGTTGCACCCTCGGCCCACTCACTCTGCACCCCGCCTGACTCTGTAGACCGAGTCACTTTCAAAGGAATGATGACTTCTGCGATTGCTCCAACTGCGCCGATGAAGTGGATTGGACCTGTGGCACCTGCAACGACCAAGAAGAGGAAGAGGTCGCCACGGGCTCCACGGCTGCAGGGCCTGCAGTGAGACACGGGAATGTTTTAAGGCCATGCAGTCGAGTAGGGAAGAGCGACCACCAAGAAAGCCATTCAGAGTTCGAAGCTTGCCTGAAAGTGGACATCTGTGGCTTCCTAAAAGTCGACTCATTGCACTCGCTCGCCATCTATAATCTCAGCTTGGATGCTAGTCGCCACCCCAAAAAAAGGTGGAGGATCCTCAACTTCTTGTCTACAGTGACGCATTACCTGAGGCAGAAGAAAAAAGGTGGACTGAGGTAAAAAGGTCCTTGCCTCTCATGGCTCTATGATGCTCTATGCTTGTTGGAGTTGTCTCTCTCCTTCGATCGGCTGGAGCTCCCCAGGTGTCGGCGTGGGCGTGGGCGTCAGTGCCGGACTGGCCTTGGGCATTGGCTTGGGAGACGCTTGGGACGTGCAGCCGACTCGTTGGGGGCGACCGAACCGGTCAAGACCCGGGGGGCTCCGGCTTGAACCAACGAACCGAACCTGCTGTGACGACCAGACATGGTCCACCGAAGCGGGTTCACGGTTATGAATTGGTGGTGGTGAGATATTGGAATGAACAGGAAACACAAAATCAGATCAAGACACCACTGAGTCCCCACCGGGCAACCGGCCAGTGTGAAACTGAGCAGTGATAGGCAAAATATGGAGAACGTGCGAAAACGGACGTCACCAAATGACCTTACAGAGCATGACTTCATGAATGAACCTCTTGTATCTCCTCAGGCTCCCGCCCCCAACGCCATCTTTTCCGAGGTTGGCCTGGGCACTGGTGTCGGTGCGACTGGAACGGCCAGTGCCGGTGTCGCTGGAGTGGTCGGGTTGCTGGCCTTAGCGGCGCAAGGGCTTTTGAGGCGCGGCACGTCCGAAGCCGTACGGTTTCAGCGGTTTCACCGGTCCGACTCGCTCTGCTCATTCCTCGTTCGAGAACGAGCACCCGCGGTGGAACCGTGCGGGGCAGAGAGGGAGATCACGTCTTTTTCACTGAAATGGAGGTTAGTGCTGCGTCAATGTCTACAAACTTCAACTGTGCATGGTGCCTCTTTCAGGCTTCGAGTGTCAAGCGGCACGCTGCAAGACCCTGACGTCGTCAATGCGTTGAAGGAAGCGCCGGGCATTTGGTTGTCAGACTTTTCTTGGAAGTGGCACACTTTTGCCGCTTGAAAGTTGTACTTGATATCGATGTTAGTTTTGAGTAAAACACCAGAAACTAAATCGGGCGAGAGGACACGAGATCTGTATCCTGACAGGCTTCCTAGCAGTCCACAATAGTCCACAACTTTGATCGTTAGTTTCTATAGCGAGTGCAAGCGATGCAAACGTACATAGCGTGTTTTGGAGGTGTAGATTGGGCATGTGCCAGCCAGATGTTTTCATGTTTCTAGCCAGTCAGTGGAGAACCTTTAACCCTTTTTGTGGGGAGTCTTTTTCCCCAAAAAAACGAACGGAAGACGAAGAGGTACTGAAAAAGGTATCAAGAAGGACTGAGGGAGTCGGTTTGAGCCCGTCCGTCAGCCTCGCGGCAGGAAACGATTGCTCGACTCTCCGGTAGCGGTGTGAAGGCCGCTGCGGTGGAGCTCATCATCAATTGTGTCAATGCTTCTGGACCAGCACAGGATTGCATGCCTGATGTCGAACACCAGCACAAAAATTGATAGAAACGTGCGGGATCGTGGGCGTATGGGTATGGAGTCAATATTGATCACACAATGCTTGAAACAGGAATAAGTTGATGCAAACATCGCTTGACACCTGGTACTGTTTCTGGTCTTCGCATCGTGTCTTCACGCCTCCAACCTACTAGGAATGGCCTCCAACCTAACAGCGATGGCCTCCAACCAAAAAGCGGTGGCTTCCACCCTAGTAGTGATGGCCTCCAACCTAAGGGCGACGGCCTCCAGTTTTCTGGGAGTGTTGGCCGGTGCTGCAGGTCTTGAGCCCCAAAAGGAATCCAAGGTGTTTATTCCCCACCCAAGCATTGTGGGACGGACGAATTTCAGTGTCCCAAACTGGGTTTATGGGTCCCATACGGGACTTGCTGTTCGTCCACGATCGGAGAAACAACACAATACGTGTGGATCTATATTACAGAACTTAACGAACTACAGTGTCCCTTGGCTTTCCCAGAGCGTGTTTGGTGTTCTTTTATGATCCGGAAGCCATGTGAGAGATTCCGCATGCTATACCTGGAGGGCCTAGATGAGAACTGGAAACAACAAAAATTGCAAGAGTTTCCCATTGCTGTTGTCGGCACTCGGGGGTATGACAATTATCACAGCCTCATCTCACAGGGGCGTGATCCTTCTGATGAAGCCAGCTCCTCCTCACTCCCGTCTTGGCGCTTGAGGCTGCAGCTCCGGCAAGCAACCTGCCAGCGCTGCCAGCAGTGAACATCTTCTCTTTAACCCTTTGTTCAACGAACATGGACACTTTCAGAGGGAGATTGGGAAGATGTTCATGTATCCACCCAGGATGGCACCCTTAAGTGTCTATGTTTGTTGAACTCAGGCCTTGGCAAGTTCTACTTGTCCTTTTTCCCTCAAGATAGCTACGTGTTCCTACTTTGCAAGGGAGCTCTTGTCTCTATTTGCCATGCTTGCTAAATGTGTTCATTTGCTCTTCTTGCAGGGAATCGTTTGCGGTTTGGCGGTTTCCGAGTTCGTGGAAAAGAAACAAGTGCAAGGACACTCCCACATGATGGGGATGGCCAAAGCCCAAGAAACAAGCCGAAGGCCAGCTGAATACTTGGAACTTGTGGCATGCTTGCAGCCATGATGGGATCCCTAATTCCACAGACAGAGACACCGAGAGGTGATTTTTAATAGCTGATGAGGTCAGTCCAGTTGTCGGATGGTCACCAAGTCGTTGATCCTACACACGTGCGACGGACAAGTTAAAGGAAGGCATCCGCTAGAACCACCATAGGCGAACGCATGCAAAACGGACACTTTTAATTCACAGTTTCTTGTTTCACTATGTTTCACTCAGATCTTTGCTCGTTCAGCTGGAATTTTATCGGCGGTTTTTCTTGCGTGCTTCTTGGGTGCAGGTGCGGCGATTGACTGGAGTACTGCCACGGCTGCCACGGCTACTGCAAGCGTTGGCGGGTGTTGAGGTGGGCGTGTGCTTTCAGGTGCAAGTTGCTGACACCTCTGCGGAGGACTGCAGGGCCTCGGGCAAAACGGAGGACTCGGGCTGGGGGTGAGGCCCTAGTAGTCTAGTAGTCATTCTCGAGTCAATTTTCTCAAAACCAACCCCCCAGCGGATAGAATAATTATGTGGCACGTTCCTTGCGCCGTTCGATGCTGTGCGCCTCGCGCCAGGAGGTTTGCCAAACCCTCAACGGTTATGACTCCGCCACGGTGCAGGCAGTGCTGTCCTCGGAACTGGAATCCGCAGGGGTTCATCCTCAAGAGGTCACAGTGATCGGCATCTGGACGGAATTACGACCCGTTGTGTTTTGTTTTCTCTACCGTGATTTCAGAGGCATTCGTTGGCACAAACCGCAAGTACCGCAAGATGTTTTTTTAGATGGGGCGTCCCTATAATATCCTATAAACTTCCTTTTTGTAGGTTGTGCCACTTACAGTAATTACTCTCAATCCACTAGTACTAAAAATAGATCATCAAATATGTGTTCGTGGGATGCTATCAGCTTTTCTTTGGCGTCTTTGATTCTGGGTATGGTCTCCACAGCTCCAGTTCGAACAGAATTCCACCGGTGCGTCTCCGCCCGCCCACGTTGCGCCGCCCTGTCAGTGGGCGCGTCCAGGTCGCTGAAGCCTCGTTGAAATGAAACACCGACCCAGGCAACCCCGCACCAATCACAAGACTCAAGACACACCATAAATCCCAGACACGACACATGGGACCGCCATAGCGACTGCCATAGGACTGCCAATCAGTTGGGGTGGTTTTGGGGGTCAATTGATCGGCATAAATACCATATACATGGAGTGTTTGAGTATTTTAATAAGTATATATCTTGGAATATCTTGGAAGAACGTCTTGTCCAGCGGTGTTCGACTGAGGATATGATGCAAGTCCAAATCCCCGGTCCTACCATGCGCTGGACACGGATGACGCGAACTTCTTCGCCCCTGCTTCCGGTGTCAGCTTGGGCAGACTCTGAGCTGTGACAGGAGCTTCAATGAGAGAATTTGAATGATAGGTCTTATTAGCAGCATTATATACAGCACCCCACCAGCAAAGAATTCAAGGCAGGCAGTGAAAGATTTTGGGAGCAATGAACGAGCAAAGATTTGACGCAGCCGTCGTTGTATCATGATATGTTGCAGCCGCTAGGTTTTGCATCGCACGAGCGACTTTCTTCTCAAACTCCATTCAGCGTGGATCAAAGTTTAAAGTTGGTGCACCCCCGTTGCTATCCATTCCCGTTTGCACAGGACTAGATTGCTGATTTGTTTCGGCGCACCATGGCTGCAAGGTGAAAATGGCTCAGAGAATCTCCAGGGGTAGGGCGAACTGAGAGCACATTACTAGCTTCCCCTGCATGTTCCTACTTGTTTTCAGGCTGCTGCGGAGTCCAGGGGTGGTTGGGATCCCCTCGTTTAGGATTGCGTAGGTGCCTTTGCCATTGTACCCATGGGTTCGCTCCATCTTGAACAAGTTCGCTCCAACGAATGCGAGCGGACCAGAGCGTTCCTTCGGGCGGTTGAGACACCCACTATTTGTTACTCCTCGAGATCCTTGAGCGTTGCCAGAACAGAGAAGTGTCAAGATTTTTCCATTGAGCCGGATTGATTCCATCGAGCACTCTTGCGACCAAGTTGCCAGATGATGCAAGAACAGCAACAAGATTTGGCATTCTGGAGCTCGAACTAAGGCAGGCAACATTGCACCGAACAACGCCCAAATGGGATGAACTCCCGCAATTGTTTACACACTGGGCTGCAGTCTCTGCAACAACACCTTGCACGGATATGCTTGTTTTTATCCTTTTTAGTTTTCCATAAATATATCCGAAATATTCGGATATTTTACTGCAAGACAAACCATGAATAACACAACATTAATATTAACAATAATATATATATATAATACACACACATATATATACATATATATTACACAATATATAAACATTAAGTAATTTTGTTGAATGGTCAAGAATATATGTGAATTCAAAATACATTGTTTAAGGGCTTGCGTCCGACAGCCCGAAAGGGGCCCCACAGGCGAAAGGGGGAAGAGGAGGGTAATGAAAGCGAGAAGTAAGGGAGGAGGAGGAGGAGGAGAAGGATGAGTAGTTGTTGGTGTGGGGGTTGCAGTGATAGTGGTGGTGGCAGTGGTGGTGGTAGTGGTGGTGGTAGTAGTAGTAGTAGTAGTAGCAGTAGCAGTAGCAGTAGCAGCAGCAGCAGCAGCAGCAGCTGCTGCTGTTGTTGTTGTTGTTGTTGTTCGTGGTGGTAGTTGCAATGAGTGCT